TATGTTGATGTCTTAATATCTCAATACAATCTAGATACCTTACACTAGCATCCACTTCTGTCTAATGTAGTTGTTTTTGTCTGTGAACATGAACAGGCATGAGTCTCTATTGGGATTTTGAGTCAATGTCTTAATCTCAAAACACACATAAATCACAGCAGGAATCAGAATTGAGCAAGTCTCCCTATTTCCATGGAATATAAATTGTGGAACAACCTACTACTTCCTATTACTAACATTTGTTTACACTTGTTTTAAGTGTGCCAATTAAAAAGTGAACTTGTATGTGTTCAAGTGCTAATTAGATCAGAGATTGGGGTCTCCAGCTGTGCTGGATGATGTCCTGTCCTCACGGGAGATGTTCTTCTGCTGGTCTCCAGGGTCTAGAACCAGACTTACACACTGCATAATCCTTAAAGATGCTGTATATGTGCATATGCATGAGACAGAAGAAAAACATGAACTTGTCTTATAAATTAGCATTTATGTAATTGCGTGCAAAAAAAAAAACGTTCAAAGGTTTGGGGTCGGTAAGATTGAATGTTTCTGAAATAATTATCTTCTCTTATGCTATATCAAAAATACAGTAAAACCGGTAATTTTGTAAAATATTATTAGAATTTAAAAGAACTGTTTTCTATTTTCATATATTTTAATGTGTGATTTATTCCTGTGATGGCGAAGCTGAATTTTCTGCATCATTACTGTCACGAATCCGGTCTGTGGCCTTCCATCCGATTGCCACCAGAGATCGCCTTCTGATTATATTGACTCTCACACTACACAGACTTCCACATGTCACCATGGACTACATTTCCCATACTCCATTTCATTGATTACGTTTACACCTACAGCCAATTACACCCACTATAAGAATCAGTCTCAAACAACCATTCACGGCCAAGTATTGTAAGCACATATCGCTACCCTAGCTGTTAGCTACTTTATGGAGCCTGCTCTAGTTTTCATAGTCTAGTTATTGTCATAGTCTTGCCTTGCCTGCTTTCCCATGTTCAAATTCTTGCCTGAGTATTTTGGATTACCCTTTCGTCTAGTCTTTTGGATTATGTTTGCACCTTGCCTGGACTATTGCTCGTGTTCCTTGGATTACCCCGCTTGTCAAACCCTCTGGATTACGTTTGCCATCGATTGACCCATGCCTGTTTAACGGATTACTCTTGTGTCTTGCCTGTGCCATATCTGTTTGCTGGTGTTCGACCCTGCCTGTTTCTGACCATGTCTTCTAATATAGCTTTGCAAATGGATCCGCGCGTCTCGTTCGCCCCGTAACAATTACTCCAGTCTTCATTGTCATGTGATCCTTCAGAAATAATTAAAATATGCTCATTTTGTGCTCAAGAAACATTTCTTATTATTATCAATGTTGAAAACAGTTGTGATGCTTAATATCTTTACGGAAACTGTGACACATTTTTTCAGGATTCTTTTTATTAACAGAAAATTCAAAAGACATTTATTTGAAAGAGAAGTATTTTGTAACATAATAAATGTCTTTACTTTCACTTTTTATCAATTTGATGGTTCCTTGCTGAGATCTCCATTTCATTCATATAAGACTCTATGAAGTTTTTGTGAGCAATTGGGAAGAGCATAACAAATGCTCAGGTGGTTACAATAGATGTTGACATTAGCCTGTTGCTGAGCTAACCATACGAAACTCATATGCATACAATCTTATAGCATACACAAGTATATTGTAAAGCAGTCCATTTTTGAGCTATGCGTCCTGGGATAGCTGTCTTTTTTGGAAAGGACACATGCAGTGCTGTCTTAAAAGTTGGTTGGAGGTATTACTGGTGACAGTATAATTATGGCGTGATGCTTTAAAAGGTTGTCCAGGTAGGCAGCTCACTAGGTTTTAGGACAGAGAAAATCTTTGTAATAAAACCCTTCTCACCTCACACGCTCACGCACACACACACACACACACACACACACACACAGAGATAATACAGCACTACTTCACACACAATCTGTTCTCTCTTCTGCAAACCCTTTCATTTCTATTCCTCTGGTTTCCCTCTCTTCTTTAATTAGCATGTCTCGCTCTCTCTCTCTATGTCTGTCTCATACAATGGACCAGTCCATTAAGCTTTACATGAGAAATGAGAGCCATTTTGTAGTCATGTGACAGTGCCATATTAAAATGTTTGTAGGGCATTATGGGGCTTTCCTTATAAATAATTCAAATCCCAAAGCAATTAAAGCAGAAATCTGTTATCAGCCTTTACCTTCGCATTTCACAAAGCACAATATACTGCAGATTTCCACCTCTGCTTATACTGGGACAGTACAAACACATGACGGGTATTTGATTCTACTGGTAACTGAGATCCCCAACGGTCCCCTGCATGAATAAAACAACAGAATATACTTTGAATATCTTGAAAATGTGTTATATAAGGAAAAATGATAAATATTTGAATAAATATAACAAATATTATGAAAGAAAAATCATTTTAGAAAAACTATTATTAGAACATAATGTAAAATGTATGATAAAATGTAATACAGTAGATATATACGTATGTAATACACACACATACATTTTAGAATGTTCAAATATTTTCTATAAAATGTTTTCTATAATAATATTTATTATCCTGAACTTAATTTGATGACACATATGTAACATATTAATTGCATTAAGTCATCAAAATGAAAATAAAAGGAACAAAAGCATAGTTGCAGATGCACTTTAACAAAGAGAGAGACTGACTTATCTTGATTATGATGTTGCGAGGGACATAATGACCCAGTCTGTCTCAAATATGTGAAATAACAAAAAATAATAAAGCTTTATTTTGTTTAATTTATTAATTTATTTAATTTATTTTTTTAAGACAAAATGCAGTTTTGTGGTCAGTAAGAAAAGATTATTGTCAGCAAATTCACCCACCTTTGTCTGATAAGGGTTGGGAAGGAGATGTGATGGGTTGGAGAATTTAGCAACTGTATATACTTGTGTGTGTGTGTGTGTGTGTGTGCAAAGGCAGCTCTTATCATCAATCACAATATTTCTCTCCTCTGACATCCCACTTTATCACTCCCTCTTTATCTTCTTCTGCTCCTTTTCTGATCCTCTTTCAATGCTCAGCCATTTTCTCTCTGTCTGCTGGTTTTGTCCTGTCCTCTATTATTCATTGTTTTTATTTCCTTCTCACAGTCACATTTGATGTACATTTGCATTTACCACAGAATAAGTCTCTAAACACAAACTTTTTTGTTTTGCCCGTTATATAAATACCTTAAATACCCTGCTAATCACCTATTACTGCTGTTAAAGATGTGTGTTTCTGTTTTAAACATCTAAATTGCGTATTTATAAAATGATAAAAATGCATATTTGCTATAAAATGGGTAGGTTTAGGTTTGGGGGCAGGTTAAGGGGTCTAAAAAATCTAAATTGCGTATTTATAAAATGATAAAAATGCATATTTGCTATAAAATGGGTAGGTTTAGGTTTGGGGGCAGGTTAAGGGGTCTAAAAATCGAAATCGCTTATTAATAAAATGATAAAAATGCATTGATATGAATATCTAAATGATATAAAAGATACGTAAATATTTTTACGTTTTTTAGCTAAAAATACGTAGCGATTTGTACGTTTTAAACGTTGAAATACGTCTAAATTGTACGTTTTAGCATGACTAAAAACGTACAAAAGTGTACGTTTTGTGCTTGTAAATGTTACGTATTTATACCTACGTATAAACATGAGACCAGGCTGGAATGACATGAGTGTTGATTTGATCTGCTCATTGAATGTGTGATGCCAGGATCACCAGGAGTGAAGTGTTTGGGAGGATGATGAATCATTTACAGTGCCGATATTGATCAGGCAGTTTATTTTTCTTTATTTTCTATTTCTCCACTAAGATTCAGCAAGTATTTTTTAAGCTTCAGCTTATAATATATATATTAAGATTAAAAGCACACCTATAAAAATGTATAGAATTATATCATAAAATAGAATATCTAATAAAATGTACATATATATATATGTGTGTGTGTGTAATCTTAATTAATTTAATAATTAATTTTAGGTGTGCTATATATTTTTGGCTTTTGTAAGCTTTCCACTTCTTTAAGAAATTTGAGATATTGTATAAATTGCAATGGCATCATTATAGTATTTGCATACTGAAATCTGTTTGGAACTGTGCTCATGAATCTCAGTTTTGGAACACAGATTCCATTCCAGATTCTGTTCCATTTCAGTCCTCTGTTAGATAAGCAGCATACATGAGTGACATGAGTGTTGATTTGATCTGCTCATTGAATGTGTGATGCCAGGATCACCAGGAATGAAGTGTTTGGGAGGATGATGAATCATTTACAGTGCCGATATTGATCAGGCAGTTTATTTTTCTTTTTTATTTCTCCACTAAGATTCAGCAAGTATTTTTTAAGCTTCAGCTTATAATATATATATATTAAGATTAAAAGCACACCTATAAAAATTTATAGAATTATATCATAAAATATAATATCTAATAAAATGTACATATATATATGTGTGTGTGTGTGTGTGTGTGTGTGTGTAATCTTAATTAATTTAATAATTAATTTTAGGTGTGCTATATATTTTTGGCTTTTGTAAGCTTTCCACTTCTTTAAGAAATTTGAGATATTGTATAAATTGCAATGGCATCATTATAGTATTTGCATACTGAAATCTGTTTGGTCTTTCCTCTCTTGCATGTATTCACTGCCATTACATTCCAGACTGTGTCTAAACCAGAGCCTAAAATCTAAACTTATGTGACACTTTTATTCTTTTGATGCTTTGCAAGCCCTGATGTTTTCTTTAGGAAATGCAATCAAGTTTTTTCTGTACTCTTTTTTTATTTCTGTGATTTGTTTTAATTTAAAATAAGCTTCAAAATAATGTTTAACAAAATAGTAGAATAGAATTCAGTGAATTCTCTAATTCTTTTTACCAACTGTGTATTTTTGCTCTTTTTTTTTTGTTGCAGTGATCTTCTATCATCAAATTACATTGAGAGGCACATATCAGAGGAGGGGAAGTCAGTTGTCAACAAAGTGAGTATAAACTCTCATTCCAATATCAATTAAATATCTGCTTTAGACCAGAAGTATATTATACCTTTAGCTAGGGCTGGGCGATATAGCTCAAAAATGTATCAACGAAATAATGTTTCATATTGTTCGGTATTGATAATTATTGACATTTTTTATAACCTTTTTTAAAACAAAGAGCAATATAATTTTTTTTTTAATTTAACCACTATATTTTTAAATTAACCCAATTTATTGAGACAAACAACATGTCAAATACACAATAAAAATTAAACAAATATCCAATTTCTAATGTTTTATATGCAGATTAAATAGGTTTTAAGGAAACTTTTGTCTTGTCTCCCGAGGCCACAGGAGGGCGAAATGAGCAAAATAATGCAGCACATTTAAATTGTCAACGCAAGGAAATAAGTCTATAAAAAAACGTGCATTACGTCTACATTAACTCATATAAATCAAATATAATTTAGTAAATTGCATAAGCAATTATGAACAAAACAGCATCATGTATTTATGCATTGCTTAATCCAAAGAGTTTAAGCACCATTCACACAGATTGCATTTAAAAACATTTGAGACGCAGTGAAAAGGAATAAACCTCCACAAATTCACGACGTGTTTTCTAAAAGTTTAAACTGTTTTAACTTTGCATGGCTTTCTATACATCTCTTGTGTGAGATGCGAGTGCAGCAGTCATATTTGTCCGTTTAAAAATGCGCTGAATATGCGTTCTGTGTGAATGGCTTGGTTACTATATTTCTCTAATATTTTGAATGCATAACGCAGCAAGTGCGTGTCTCGTGGGCTAAACTAACAAAACATTCAAATGCAACAACGTCACTTACATCGTCACCGTATCTCGTGCTCCACTGATGACGCTCCCTGACGCACTCCTAATATTTGATTGTACTATTTTTGCATTCAAATCCAAATGTTTATTTTAAATTCGACTAATATTAATTTTTTTATTCACAATCTCCTCATCACAGGCAGGCACAGCACTCAATTCAGCATGTGTTCGTGTTTGTGTGTGCTGTCTGCGTCACTCAGAGCACGTGCCTATATCGTGCACTTAGGGCTGGACGATATGGCCAAAATTTATATCACGATATATTTCTTAATTTTGGTCGATACGATATAATTCTTATATCGATATGAACACTATTTATCTGAATAAAATAAATCTTTTGTAACATTATAAATGCCTTTATCATCAATAAAAACAAAAACAAAATTTTGATCAATTTTAAGCATCCTTGCTAAATAATAAATTATACTGAATAGAATAGTGTATAATGTTACAAAAGCTTTTTATTTCAGATCAATTCTGATCTTTGGATCTTTCTATTCATCAAAGAATCATGAAAAAAAAATTCTCAACTATTTTAAATATTGATAATCAGCAAATCAGCATATTAGAATGATTTCTGAAGGATCATGTGACACTGAAGACTGGAGTAAGGACTGATGAAAATACAGCTATGTATGATCACAGGAATAAATTACATTTTAAAATCTATTCAAAATAGAAAGCAATTTTAAATAGTAAAAATATTTCAAAATTGTACTGTTTTTGCTTTACTTTGGATCAAATAAATGCAGCCTTATTGAGCAGAAGAGAATTCTTTAAAAAATTAAAATAAAAAACATTACAACAACATTAAAAATCTTACTGTAGGCTGATTATTCTTATAGATTGAAACAATTGTGCTTCAGCCAGAAAAAAGGGTATGAAAAGTGCTCCGAGTCGCTGCAGAAAACAAAAAAAATCGAACAATAGCAAAAACTGGAAATGTTGCTGGAGACCAAGGTTATTATAGTTTAGCATTTTTAAATTCGTTTTATTTTAATATCATTTTCAAATTTGCAATAAAATTTAGTTTTGTTTTTATTAGTTTCATTAATAATTTTGTTAATTTTAGTTTAGTTTTTATTTTGTGAACACATTCTATTTAGTTTTTTTATATAGTTTAGTTTCAGTTTTAGTTTTAGTTTTAGTAATTCAAGTTTATTAGATTTAACAGATCACTTCCAGCGCGCAGGCCAAAGAAAGACTTAGGCTAATTTAACCTTAGTGATGCAAACGTCTAGCGACACCAAATTAAAGCATGCT